TTGCCAACAAAGTAAACTCGTTTTCCTGGCACTATATAGTCCTTACCCTCAGGGCCCCCCTCCCGCTGGGCTGAAGGAGTTATAATCCCTTCTGCCATTTACCTTTATCCAGCTCAGGTGACCTTTCCTCCCCCTCCGACATCAGCTTCCAAGTGGAGCCGAATGCGCATGCGCGGCCAGAGCCACGCACATATTAAAAATGCCCATTTGAAAGCATTTCTCAATGCTTTCCTATGGACGTTCTGCGTGCTCAATGCGATTTTCGCATTGAGTGTCGGGGAAGCGTCTCTAGCGGCAGTCAGGAAGACAGCCACTAGAGGCTGGATTAACCCTCCAATGTAAACATAGCAGTTTCTTTGAAACTGCTAGGTTTACAGCTGCAGGGTTAAAACCTGGGGGACCTGGCACCCAGACCACTTCATTGAGCTGAAGTGGACTGGGTGACTATAGTGGTCCTTTAAATCAAATAGAGTACCTTAATATTGAACAAAGGGAGGAGACTGAAAAGACTAAGCCTCTCACACAAGCAGGGAGCAGGTAAAAGCCAGTAATTGGTCAACAGAGAAAGCGTAAGTCAAATAGAAAGACAATTTTTTTTATTTATTTTTTAAAGCACAGATAGCGGAAAAGAATCTGACAGAGAGAGAACGAAACTAGAAAAGTGAAAAAGATGGAAATAGACTGACGGGGCATATGGAATTCATGAGTAGTGGCAAACTATTTTTGCCTAGGGTGGTAAAACTCCTTGGACTGGCACTGGATAAGTGTAATTGAGACATACAAAAAAAAAAGACTTCTATGTGTTGATAAAAAAATAAATAAAAAAAAAATTGATAACACTTTACTAGATTAACGGATTAAAAAAAAATGGATTTTACTGGCAAATAAATAAACCACAAATACCTCATGTAAAATGGGGACATAGGCCGCTCATCTTCTTGGGAGCTGCAAAGGAAAAACAAACAACAAATTTACAATCTTTAACTTGTCACAAAACAGAGAAAAAAAAAAAATAAATAAAAAATATCGCACAAGAGAGATTACTAGGGAAAGAAACCATCAACTAGCAAGACTTAACTCATGTATGTACGCATGTGTACACACACACACACACACACACGGTCTGAGGCCATGCTTACAGAGCACATAGGAATTAGGGTGCTAGGATCATGCTGCTAACAGGGGTGCTTGAAGTGCCCCTTTAATAACATTGTTCAATTATTTAAGTATTAAAATCTATTTTATAGTGAATTATTTTGATCTTCAGAGGTTGCAAATGCACAGAGAGAACTAAACATAGCAGTGTTTAACACTTAACAGGTTTAAAGATTAACATTCACATCTACGAAAAGTTATACATTTCAATGAAAGTGAGCCCAACATGCCATCTGTTGGTAACTTAAGAGCTACAATTAAAGTGGACTTTGAAGAAAACAAAAGCAATTTATTAAATAAAATGAAAAAAAAAAACAAAAAAAAAAAACACCGAAGGTTGCCTGCCCCTAGATTTCTAGAATCCAAAAGAGTTAGGACTAAAAAGAGAAAAGTAATATTTTTCTATTGTTCTTAAAGAGACACCATAGTGTAAGGAATACAAACATGTGTAGGTGTGTCCTCCAAGCTATGATTTACTTTCCTTACATACTGCTCGCACTGGTGTCCAATCAGTATCCCTTGAAGAGATCTCAGCCAATCCAACGCCTCTCCACAGGAAAGCATTGCGAGGCTAGCGTGCATGCATGGTAAAACGCCACGCTGTGCATATCAAATGCTCTCTAGAAGAGTAATATTAATTATAATGGAGATTAACTCAGTTCTAGTGGCTGTCAAGAAGACTTCTGCAGCTATAGTTAGTTATGCTAACTCTGCAAGGAAAATATTGTCGTTCCTGCAAATTATCATCATTTAATGGATATGCTTCACTATAGGGATTTTTGTGGATGTGTGGATGCTTAACCTTTGCACTGGTAGTGCCGGTGTGTCACGTGGCTACTGTTCACTCCAAGCACAGCCACAGTGCCTTAGGTGGGCAGGAGAAAAGAAAGACGGTGGGAAAGTCTTAAAACTTCCCAGGATTTATGTTGACTTATCCACTTTATTTAACCCATATGTGTATGGATTTCTACATTTAAATTGTATTTGTTTGGCTTACACAGTGCTGTATTGTTCTCTATCCGGTTACGGAGTAGCTCTTTATTGCTTCTATCTGAATAATTGCTATAAGCTCTGCCATTTGTAATTGTACCGGTCAGTCAGCATACAGAGAGGAAAAGTATAAACAATGTTTGCGTTTTCTCCTAATTTGCATAGCGTGCCATGGTGATACCAAAACTATTGTGTGCCCTCCTCCCACACTTTATTCACTCTCAGCGTTTAATAGTGTGTGGGAACCAGGAAATGTTACTTCAAGGTAGTTCTGATTCAATATACAATTAAAAGAAAAGAGCATAACATGGTTAAAGATTAACACACGTTATATACTATACTCAATAGCTTGATCTCCATGCTCAAATGGCAAAAATCAATTATTGGTTACTGTTACAATAAGCTGCTGCATTCAAACAGCACCAGGGATCGTCACATGTAATGGAAGCCCATGGCACACTTGCCAGGGCTCAATTTCCACTCACCAGTGCTAGTGGGCGAGTTACAAAACTTGAGTACTGCATACAAACTATACATATCAACACACACAAAAAAAAAACAAAAAAAACTTAACTTAAATCTGCATTATATTTTACTGATGAGAAGCTTTGGTAGAAGCGCAGCACCTGTTTATACTTAGCAAACATACAAGGTCACTCCAAGAAGTGCCTAGACATCAACAGAAAGGTCAATTATGCTGTAAGAGTAGAAAACAAAAAGGATACTTAATCTGGCAATTATTAATTGCAGAGGAATGAAATTCAAACGCCCAGTAATGTTATAAAAATAGATAGTGTAAATATGTTGGTATGTGTTCACCCTGACTACAGAGAACAATGTTAGACCAGTTGCCCGTGCATGGGTAAACATCCCTCTCTACATACAGAAACATTAAAAGTGACACTCCACAAAGATTGGATAAAACAGTATGAACAGATAATGTAGTCACTGATAGCAATATATATAACTTTACATATCCCCCCCCCAAAAAAAAAAATTTAAAAAAATACAAAAACTAAAATAAATATATTCATTAAAATATTGTACAAAAATAAATACGAATTTGGGTTATATATGGAGGTGACTAAAATATCGATATCAATATCTAAAACAAAATAAACACAATACAGCCAAAGAAGTTGAAATTATAAATGTATAATAAATCTTTTTTTATAATTAAACAAATAAAAACTGCACAAGCCCCTCTTAAAACAAATATATATATACACACACACACACACACACACACACACATTATATATATATATATATATATATATATATATATATATATATTAATTAAATTCTGGATGAAAAAAACTCTGCATGAAAGGATGTGAAAATCTCTTGCAAGGACTTAATGCTCAAAAGTGAAAAGCCAATCCCATAGTATGGAAAAGTGGAATGGTACGACTTTCTAATATGTGAAGCTCTAATGGAATAAATATATCAAGTCTTCTACCACTGCTTATGTTGCTCTGGCTTATCAGAACCACAGTTTGCTTGCAACCATTTATAAGCCCCCTGAAAATACAACTGGGGACATCCGCATCCACTTAAATAATGCAAAACGCAGAATATATTGCAGCTTCCGTTGTACATAGGGGGGGAAAAGGGTCTGTACTTTGCAAATGCTGTGTGCCAAAAGCGTCCAAGGAAAATGCAAAAGTTATCTTGAAATATTTAAGTAAAATCATTTGAACAGATTAAAAAAAAATTAATAAAAAAAAAAAGGTACGGGCAAGTTTTTGTTGTATTTTTAAGTGCTACACGTTGTTACATACACCATTTCTGATGACATGGCCACATTCATTTTACTTAGTGCTTTTTTAATACATTAAAAAGAAGAGTGGTAACCAACATCCCCTGCATAGCGTTTTAAAGTATAAGCAGGGGCAGATTAGATAGGATGATAGACTTCTCTATGCTAAAATATGTAGAGAACCAGCATTTCCTAGATAACAGGTTCAATGTCTTCTATTTCAGTTCAGATTTCAGCAGCCAAATAGGGGACAGAGTGATATTTCCAAGGTCACTTGGAATCTAACCACTGGCTATATGAAATACCATTAAATGCTATTTACTATGTGATACCAGTCCCCTTCCACATCACAGCAACTGATGGAATGCCACACTGGCTTCACAGATGCCCCTCTCAAAAAATAAATAAATAATAAATCGAGAGAGAGAGTAAAAAAAAAAAAAAAAAAACAACCAAAGAGGCCTTACTGCATGAAGTGTATTGTTTATCAAAGTCAAATAAAACAGAAAATATCAATATGACCACTAGTTATGTCTCTAATATTCCATGTACTTTGGAAAGGAGTCACCACTTTGTCCCAGTATACTCTCAGAGAAAAAGATTGAGAAAATGTTTTTTTTTTAAATAGGTGAATGTTATAGATCAGATTTACATCACCTGCATTTTGTGTCCTGATATACAAACACATACCATAGCCAGACAAGCGTTTGCACACACAACCATATTTCTGTTTTTTGTTACTTTTTTCTTGGATTTGCAATATATTATTAACTGCAAATGCACTTATGTAAATACCCACACTTCAACAAGCTGGAAGGAGGGTCAACGCAGCTGACATTGTTCTCACTTTCTGCCAGAGGCAAAGTACACACAATCTGTACAGTGTTCAGTCAACGCCCTTGCCAGATCTATCTAAAACGAAAGATCTTCTCCACTGGATTGATGCGGTTACAAACATTTATTTTCACCAATACATTCTATTTTGTTGTTCAACATATGCATGACTGATTTGAGTGATTATTAGTAGTGATGTTGCGAACCGTCCGCGAACTTGCGGCGAACGGTTCGCCGCAAACCGTTTGCGGCTAACTCCGGTCAGCTGACACATCCCTGCCAATCTCCGGCAGACCCTCCCTCCCAGACCCTCCTACTTCCTGGACAGCATCCATGTTGAAGGCAGCTTCAACATGGATGCTGTCCAGGAGGTGGGAGGGTCTGGGAGGGAGGGTCTGCCAGAGATTGGCAGGGATGTTTCAGCTGACCGGAGTTCGCGGACGGTTCGCGACATCACTAATTATTAGTACTAAATATAAACTGTAGAATATGGGAGTGATTTGTCCAGTGACCATAGATGCGATGGCAAAATAAAAGGATTATGGGGCCTTGTGTAACAGTTTTCACTAAGGATTCCTACATGAATATTCACTAAATTGAGAATTGTATGGAATTCAAAGAGAATTTAAAATTTAAAGTAGCTGAACTGGAAGCACAGCCGACTGAGAATTTTTCCATCTTGGTCATTTTGTCCTTAAAGGAACATACAGTGTCAGGAATACAAACATGTATCCAAACGTGTCATTTTGATAACAGCCAATCACAATGCTTTCACATTGGAAAGCATTGGATTAGCCAAGATTGCCAGCCAGCACAAGCATTTTCTAGGAAAAGATGCATCTTCTAGGAAAAGATCATGTTTACTGCAAAAAGTCTCAAGGGAATGATTATACTCACCAGAACAAATACAATAAATAAGCTGGAATTGTTCTTGTGACTATAGTGTCCCTTTAATAAAATTATGACAAGTCTAATTGGTCTTTCAACAAATCTAGAACGGAAATGTAAGAAGAATCTTGAATGATATGAACCAAACCATTTTTCTGATATGCACAAGTATAGTACTCAGTAATACATTAGCATTTCAATGTAAATGGGACAAAATGTTTGCCAGCTTAAAAATCTTACAAAAAGATGCATGCCAGGGGCACAAATACCCAAGAGAGAGACACCAAGACCTAAGTAATTATACTTATTATGAATTTTCTTGGAAGCAATAAACCTGCATGTCTTTGACAAAAACTAGCACTATCAAACTATTTATAAAATGTCCAGTAAGTATCCTGTATTCCTTATCTCAGATTGCTACAGGAAACCACATTGTACTTCACCAATCTGGAAATATCAAACAAGCTTGGATGTTCTTTAACTGGACACATCACTAGGTAAAGTACAACCACAACAATCCATTGTTCAAAAGGGAAAACTTATTTTATAAAAAAGGGACTTTACGCACAAAAACAACTGCAGCTTAATGAAGCAGTTTTGGTACAAAGATCATATTAAAGATATATTGGACTCTTGGATAGAACACCTCAATACTTCATATATGGAATTAGTGGATGATGGTGCGGTGGTAGTAAGAGTGACTGTCTAATCTCAAGTGATATCATTCACCAATAGATCTATAATGTGAAGATGCAGTCAATATGTTGAGGACTTTACAAACAGCACGCTCTCTTCCTCAATACAATGTTTGAAGTACTGGGAAGCGGCTGTTCCCCTTTAAGACTGGCAAGGCAACATGGGAATTGTAGTTCAACAATAGTTGAAAATTGGCACTTTGGCTATACTCAGCTCTGTAGTAGCTTTGAGATATATCCTTCCAGTGCACTTCTTTCAAGATGTCCACTTGGAATATTTTAATTTGTACATCCCACACCGGCTTAGTCATCACAAGCCCACTAAACTATCAAGTATTTTTTTGGAAGACGTTATGCCATTTGATAGCATGTTTAAAGCCTAGGTTGGATTTGTTGATCATCTAAATAGGATTTACATGATGAGATCATAAACTACAAATGCCCACACCTCCAAATATAAATAAAATTAATATATTCCATATACCGGTATGTCCCCTCAAACATTCTAAACTGTGCCAAGAAAGGATATAAAATAAGACAGGTAATACAAAGCTACGGACAGTAACCAGTCATTGATGCAATGATACAGTTGTGCAAATGTCCAACAATAGCCACAAGGATACATTTCTTTATTGGCTTCCTCCTTCTATAAATTTACTAGACTAGTTCCTATTTATTAAACTTTTACAAACTGATCTACTTTAACACATTCCCTTAAGATAAACATCATGATTTTTTTTTGTTTTTTATTATAACTTTATTTACTTTTAAAACAGGGGCAAGTTTTGAAGCAGCTATTATTTAAGGGCAGCTGCTATTAAGGAATGTAAATTGCATGGCGTTATGAAAGAATACCATGCGGTGTGAATTCGCAAAGCACGCCATATGTTTGTTTCCATAAGATGTCAACAGTAAATGTTCATGAATGCAGCAACTGCACACACCAAATTCCAAACCCACAAAACACCAGCAGATCTGTAAAAAAAAAAAAAACAAGACTAAGATCATAGCAGCTGCTCAGGTCCACCCTCACTTACAAACAAGAAAGAAAAAGCAAAAAACTTCATCCCCTGTTTGTTTTGTTGACTGCTCTTAAATGTTCCAGATTTACAAACAAAGTTTTAAGATTTAAAATGCCTAACCCAATGGTATAAACTAACAAAACTCATACTTCCCAAGTGTGCCTATTTAGGAGGGACAGTCCCTATGTTGGGCCCAAATCCCTCTGCTCTATCCTAATGTCCCTCTTTTCTAGGAACTCTATATTGTTTGTGTGTTTGAGTATAACAGAGCTTCACAGTAAACCATCTTTAAACTACAATAAATGTGTTTAAAATTCAGTCTGTAAATAAGATGAATTGTTCTTGTTCTAAATTACATTTTAGCTGCATAAATTGTTATTAGAAAGTCACCTAAAATGTCTCAGAACAGGCCCGCCTATGACAAAACCCACACCCCTAATTTTAAAGTGCCACTCTTTGGCCATTTGAAATCTTGGAGGGTACGAAAACTGCATTAAAAAAAAACAAAACACACACTTATTATTCACCACTTATGTTGTACCAGTCAAACATGTTCATACAGCAAACAATGAAATGGGCAAGAATAGCACATTTAAAAATCATTAGAATTGACAGGAATAACTGAGACAATCATAAAACAGATTAGTTTTGATTTGAAAAAGTACTGCAGTTTATCATAATCATTTATATTGCTCTATTATAGGCAATGGCACTGGACATATTGAGAAAAGGGTATAGATAACCACAGTAGGATTTGACAGTATGGCAATATATATTTTTAATCTCAAATAAAATTTAGATTAGCTCTTTAATGGTTCTATCTAGTAAACTGCACAAGGGCATGGTTGGTCCATTTAGCATAACAGATCAGTTTTGCAAATGCCTCTGAAGCAACCTTTAAACCTCATGTGTAAATATGGGAAGCTCTACTTCCACACTACACGGCTATTATCAGGTACCTTTGTTTCCAACAAATTAGGGAAATCACACAATTTAAAAGCTTTTACAATCTATTCTTATACCACAAGGAACAAGAATGTTTATACTATAGAGTAAGGGTGGTCACAGAGTATAACGAACGTGAACTATCAGATGTTTTGTGTTACTCTGCCTGCCTTACAGCAGGTAAAGAAATAGGAATTGCCGTTTTAAAACAGCTGGGGATTTCTCTCTTAGGAAACCCTACTATGGTATTTATTAACTAAACAGGCAACTGGGAAGGAAAATGAAAATTGTAGGTCACCACAGCCAAACTGGAAAAATATTTGAAACTGAATACTTTTGCCAATCCAGCTACTGCAACCTAAAATATTACATTTTACTTTAATTTCACCACAATTCCTGATTTAGTAAAATAACACCTTAGGTTTCAAATTACCAGAGTGTACAATAATTGTATGCAGCATTTGATCACACATATAATGTTAGTGAAGAGCAGGATGTAAAGAGACCAATAATTAAGGTTGCATCATGACAATGTGAACTGCAGTAGTTTGTAGACTCTGGTGACACAGGACCATCAGCAGCAGGTACCAATCTGCGCTGGTGCATTACACAAATATGCTTAGGGCATAGATAAAGGATCTTTGACATAGAAAGTGTGGGGAAGAAAAACTTGGGGGAGTGTGGAAGAAAAACTTGCAAACATATGCCATATAAAAGACTATAGTCGAGATAAATATTTTAAATTAGCAAGAGGACTTGGCACTCATTGTTACAGAGTCAATACATGTTTACCCAGTCCTCTGCCCTCAGGGCTCTGCAGTAAGACACTGGTTCATTATGCAGCAAACAACATCTCAACACAGGCAATTAGATAACATCGCATAAAGGTGCTACTGCATTTAAATTATGTAATTATATTACATAAGTTCCATAGTCAGACACTGAATCATTAAATAATATAACATATGCTTGGAAAGCCATCCCAGATTGTTTTTCCTTCATGCACACTGAATTCACCTACAGTCGGTATGACAGCACAACAGAAGACAGAAACAACAGCACCTTCTTCAGATTGAGATCCTAAACAATATTTTTAGGGATACCAGGGAAACAAGTTACATGAGACAGCAGAGCATCCCTGGGCAAATCAGTGGCAGTGCTGTATCAGGTCAGCCCTGAGATATGGTACATGGGAGATGGAGAAGAGACACACATGCCTGTCTGCTGTATAACTATAGTTCTGTTGTGGTTGCCTTCAGGTTGATAAAAGCATTAGAAGGAGTTGTAGATGTGCCCCTACCAAGTCATCCCCAGATACAGAAATATAAAGTGTTCCTGCTGGGCTTAACCCTGGGTGCAGCTATAGAATTAATGTACACCTACTGTGACCAGGTTAGGGTATTATTTAATGTACCCTAAGTGTACTTATTGAAATAATGCACCCTTCCTGGAGCTAGCCCCTGGTATTATTTAATGTGCCCCAGCTGTATTATTTAATGTGTGCCCCTTACTGGGACCAGCCCAGGGTATTATTTACTGTGCCCCTTGCTGGGACCAGCCCAGGGTATTATTTACTGTGCCCCTTACTGGGACCAGCCCAGGGTATTATTTACTGTGCCCCTTACTGGGACCAGCCCAGGGGTATTATTTACTGTGCCCCTTACTGGGACCAGCCCTGGGTATTATTTACTGTGCCCCTTACTGGGACCAGCCCAGGGTATTATTTACTGTGCCCCTTACTGGGACCAGCCCAGGGGGATTATTTACTGTGCCCCTTACTGGGACCAGCCCAGGGTATTATTTACTGTGCCCCTTACTGGGACCAGCCCAGGGTATTATTTACTGTGCCCAGCCCTGGGTATTATTTACTGTGCCC